CTGTGTTAGGGTTTTCATTCGGTTTTCTCGTAAATGGGCCAGGCCTATATTATGGGTTATTTGGTGATCAGAGGAAATAATTACCTCGTCGATGTACATAAATAAATCTCATTAAAAAAAGGGTACATATCATAATAATATCCAATTAATTTATATAACCTATGTTAGTATTAATCATAATTCTAGTTTATATATGTGTATATTCAAGATTAAATAAAAATATAAATGTTTCATACCAAAGATCTATAAAAGTCAATATGGGCCTTATGAAAGGCCCAAAAAGGACAAAAATGTCTGTACCAAAGATTTATGAAGTTTAGATGGGCTTTATGGAAGGCCCATGATAATCAACTGGACAAAAAACAATCACAATTTCTAGCCCATTATGCCAATATCATCACTTCACCACTCTCAATGTTGTAGAGCTTTTTTAGCTCCTAAACTCCCATATGTTTCGAGGGGGGGAAAATAACATCTTTAAAAAAATCTATAATTTAATTCATATTAATATGATTTTATATAGGCTTGAGTTTTTAAAATTTGAACACATTGATATACATTGGTATATGATTACTAATTATGCAAATATATAGATCCTCAAACTTCATCATTGTAATCCAATATAATTAATTATACTTATGATATTAAATTTTACAAGTCCATTTAGCGTCTATATTAGCGGTGTGTGATCAATCTTTTTTAGTGATGTGCTACGTAATTGTTTCTTTAAATTATCTTAATTAAGATTCAATCGACATACGAAAATTCATTTACATTATAATATTTATGAGTTAGTCGATTAAAGCTTTAAAAATTGATTCTTTTATTTCATTTTTTTGTTTTAATTAATTAAAAAAATTAAAGTGTTTAGCATACTTTTTATAGAGTTTTATCGAGTTTAGAAAAAATTAGCAACTGTAAACGAGTTGGGCATTTATTCTTCTAAACCGGCTTTGACTTGAAGTAATATTGTGTTTTTTTGTCTTTTTTAAAAGATAAAGCGACGGGATGTATTAATGCAACTTTCTTCATGGCACGTGGCGCTTTAAGAGGATGCCACATCAGATCGACGCATGATATCTTTGGAAAGATGTGGGAGCGTATCTTTTAACAGAAAAATCCGATTTAATAGGCGTTAAAATCGTGATAATAATGGTTAGTTATAAAAAAAAAAAACAGAATTTAGTTTGATATAAATATAAATGTAGAATCATTATCCAACTATAATATACAATGAGGGATAATTAAGGTGTGCAAAAAAATAAAAAATAAAAAATAAAAGAACCAATGAACGTGTTGGATCTTAGATCTCTAAAAAGATCAAGAAAACGAAAGTCCAGATTATAATCGGAGACGGAAACTACTTATGTGGAATATAGGCTTACTCCGGGACTTGAGGTTTGAGTTATATATATATACACACACTAATGATCCGTGTGAATTCTCCGTAAAAAGATAAATCCAATATCTTTCGAGTTCGGGATTGGGTTTTCCGCCGCCTTATCGCTGTTTTCTTCTTCGGAGCTCGACAGACTCTAGGGTTTTTTATTTGGTGGCTATGGCGGCGAATCCCTGGACGAGGGCGGAGGACCAGGTGCTCGAGGAAGGCCTGGCGACTTTCGCCGGGTTTTTGCCGGATCGGTTGCAGAGGATCGCTGAGATACTGCAGAGACCGTTCTGGGATGTGTATGTGCATTACAGCACATTGGCTCTCGATGCTCCGGAGATCGCTTCCGGCCGAGTCAACACGCCGGGCTACGATGACGTTAGGTCGGAGATCCCGGTGTCGCAGGTGTCGGAAACGGCGGAGCCGGCCAAGGCTCATGGCGCTGGGCGGAAGAGGAGAGAATCGAAAGTTTGGAGTGCGTACGAACACAAGTATGTATTCTCGTCTTATGCCTTTGATAAAGATTAGATATACTGCAGATTTTTAATGTCTTGGTTGATTTTTGCAAAGGTTGTTCCTGATAGGGCTACAGCGATACGGGAGAGGAGATTGGAGGAGCATTTCAAGGAACGTGGTGATGACGAAAACGCCTCTGCAGATAGCGAGCCACGCTCAGAAGTATTTCATTAGGCAAGAACTTCCACCCGAGAGGAAACGGCGGAGCATTCATGACGACAATACCGTTGACATGGACCTGGTGGCCAAGCTCTTCCCCCAGTGGCTCGATGCACAGCTGCCAGTGGAGCCGCAGTTTACCCAGGTGCAGCCGCAGTTTCAGGGTGATCAGGACTTCTGCTTTGCGTAGCCGCCAAGAAAGATCAGGAGAAGCCTAGTAGGCTTTTGGGCGACTGTAAATCTAAATAGTAGTTGAATATATTATCGGTATCAGTATTTTTTATATTCGTGTGCGGAGTAAAAGCTTCGTTACCATGATGGTTGAGTGTTCTTCTGGCATAGTTCTTGGTCAGGGGTTCGATTCTGAGCGGTGAAGATTAATCTTTCAAGTGACGGCTGGGTCCGTCACAGTCATCTGAACGTCTGATGACGCAAGTGCCGTCTGAGGTCATCTTTTTTCCTTTTTCCTCTTTCCCCATCGATCTTAAAGTTGGTCATCGCAACAATGGCAGAATCTGTATCCACTATCCAAGGAGTTTTGCAGTATCTTATATGGAGGTTATTACAGTTTCGATGCCCTTGTTTATATGTGTTTTGATTCATGGAATGGATTTGTCACTTTAAGAACCAAGGGTTTTCATTCACTCCTCTCATTTTTATATATATAAAATCACAAACACACACACATATACATATATATATATATATGTTTATATTCTTTTATTATAGAGTTTGGTGGTCATTTCTAAGGTTTATACAAACATGAAATCATGGTGTAAAGGAATAAGCTTTTTTTTTTTTTTTAGCAATTCTGTGATTTTTTTTGGGATAAACAAGTGGGGTTTTCTCTCTCTCTCTCTCTCTTTTTGATTGATTCATCGGAGATTGGATCAAGACAAGACTTGTGAGACATCTGTATAAGCACTTACAAATCTTTATAGACATCTTGCCCTAATGAATTTTTGTCTACATTTGTGACTAAATTCCATGTCTAGACTTAAAAAGCAATTTGATTGGACTTTAAAAGTAAACATTGATCCAACCACTTGGGCCGTAGATTAGTTTGTTTGCTATGGGTTTACGTTGTCGTTAACCGGCTCACGTATTAAGATTTGAATGAAATATCCATTGACTCATATTTGGAACATTATATGTAAAATAAGTTAGAAATATACCGATATGAGTGATTTGATTTCTCGTCATAAAAATTTTCACCTTTTTTATTTTATTTTTAACATGAAAAAAAGTTATAAAAAATCAAACTCTCAAAAACTTCTACCATGAAAACAATTTTTTAAACCAATATATTTTTTAGAATATAATACTTGATATAAACAATTGATCCTTGTGTCTATTGCAATGAATATAAAATATTGTTAAAAGAGATAACGTCAACATATATATATATATATATATATATATATATATAATCGAAATTAATGTGAAGTGAAAAACAAATATTCTTTCGGAAGAATTTATTCTATTAAGATTCGTCAGATTGAATAATTTTATCCGTCGAATAATCATAGTCATGAATCATCAGATATGTTTACAATCGAACACTTCTATTAATATATAAATATATTCGAATATAAATTTATTAATACGAATGATTTGATCTGTTATTATCAATTTTTTTTAACACGAAAAAACAAAACGTTTAAACTCTCAAAATTTTCTATATAAAATTATTTTCTTAACCAACATATAGTTAAATAGAAATTAATCGTTATGTTGATTGCAATAAATATAAATATTGTTAAAAGAGATAAAAGAAGAATGTAAAAAACGATAATAATTATATTAAAAATTAATATGTAGATGGAAATAATTTTAGTTGTTTTAAAATTATATCGAATAATAAAAAATAAAATCAAATAATTTAGATAGTTTATAACAAACATATCACAACAGAAAAAAGATTGCGAAACATTTTTTGACATTTAAATAAATTCCTTCATTCTTAAAAGACCAACTTTTACTTGACTTTTATATTCAATGTCATTGATTTGGGTTGGAAACGAAGGGGATGGGATGGAATCTTTTAAGCAACTCTCTTCGAGCCACGTGACGCTCGAAGAGGATGCCACGTCATACCACCGCTTCAGATGATATACCTTTTGTGGAAATTGCCACGTGGCGTAACGAGAGTTAATGCGCTCCCATCCATATCTATCTGATTCCCCTTTTCTTTTAATGAAAAAAATCCGAGTTTAAAGTGTTCCACCTGCTCTGTTACATATACGCACGTGTGATAAAAAAACAAATAGGTTTACTTTGATATAATTGGCAAATATTTATAATCCGATTACAATATATATACTAAAATTGATAGAAATAGATATATACAGAATCCATTTGATTTGATTTCTGTTAGGTTTCAATCTTATCACATTGTATTCGCCATAAAAACTAGATTCAATCTAAAACTATATTTATATTTAAATTTTTTTAATTGTTTTAATATTTATTTTAAATTATATTTGATAAATTTATATTCGAATATATTTCTATGTTATTCGTTTCTATTTATGTTTACGTAAACTAATCAAAGTAGAGAAACCTGATTTCTAATTCGACAATAAAAATTTCGTATAATTCACAACTACAAACGTGTGAGGTACCTCATTTTTTGTGATGATAAAAGTTGGTAGATATAATATAACAAAAGTTGGTAGATTATATAATATTTTATTATTATATATAGTGTGTGAGAGAGAGCAAGGTATGTATATATCCGCATAATTAAATGTGTAAATAAAGAAAATACTGCAAAAAAAAAATCACGGGGGATGGTGAGGTGGGCAGAAACAAAAAAAGAAAAAGTTGTGAAAATAAATAAATATAAAACGAACCAAATTACATCATCTGAGCTGCTGCTGCCTCCTTATTTCCTCGGCCACACTGTCAATTTTCTAAAAGTCAATTTTTTAAAAAAAATTAAGAATTGTAAAAAAAAAACCAAAACGAGAGAATCCCTATAAATACGCAACAAAAGATAAAGAAATATAAGATCTTGTCAAGGGACCGATCTTACACCACCGTCCTCTTCTTTCCAGTTCGACGGTTCTTTTGGGTGGGAATGGATGCGAATTACTGGACAAGGACGGAGGACAAAATGTTCGAGGAAGCTCTAGTGACTTTCTCCGAGCTGATGCCGGATCGGTGGCAGAGGATCTCCGAGATTCTTCGGAGATCTCAGTCGGAGGTTTATGACCATTACTATGCCTTGGTTCACGATGTATCCGAGATCGATTCCGGCCGAGTCAACGTCCCGGCCTACGCCGATCACTCGCCGGCGAGTTGTGACTCACCGGCGACTGTTGCGGCGACGAGGACGACTCCGAAATCGTTAAGGGTCAAGCGGGACGGGACGGAGAAGAAGAAGAAGGGGACTCCGTGGACTGAGAACGAACACAGGTATGTCTTTATTTCGAGTGAGAATTCACAAGTTGTTAGTTATCGATTTCGAAACATGTTTCAGAAACAGACTGTTCTTGTTTGTTGGTTTAGGTTGTTTCTGATCGGGCTGGGGAAATACGGGAGGGGAGATTGGAGGAGCATATCGAGGAACGTGGTGGTGTCGAGGACGCCGACGCAGGTGGCGAGCCACGCTCAGAAGTATTTCCTGAGGCAAGCCCAGATCGACAAGGAGAGGAAACGTGCCAGCATCCATGACCTAACCACCGTCGACAACGACGACATTCTCCAGTGGAACACTCTCCAACCACAGCCACAGCCTCAGTCGCAACCGCCGCCTCAGACGCAGCAGCCGCAGGGAAATACGGGAGGGGAGATTGGAGGAGCATATCGAGGAACGTGGTGGTGTCGAGGACGCCGACGCAGGTGGCGAGCCACGCTCAGAAGTATTTCCTGAGGCAAGCCCAGATCGACAAGGAGAGGAAACGTGCCAGCATCCATGACCTAACCACCGTCGACAACGACGACATTCTCCAGTGGAACACTCTCCAACCACAGCCACAGCCTCAGTCGCAACCGCCGCTTCAGCAGCCGCAGCCGCAGCCGCAAGTACTGCAGCCGCTGCCACTGCTCTCGATGAACCAGCAGTTTATGCTGGTGCAAGGGCATGCTCAGCTGCCGCCAAGGGACTACCAGAGCCTAGGGCAGTTTCCGGGCGATCTGGACTTCAGGCTTTAGTAGCGGAGTATATTAGGGTCTTGGATTTGGTCGCTCATTTCCTATAAATAGGAGGGACAATAATAGGGTTTGGTGTAATTTGTAAGGTTGTCATTTATATGCTTTTCGATACAAACATGAAATCAGTGTATACGAAAGCTTCTTTAGCAAATATCATGCTTTGTTACCTTTTGGAATGAAAGCGAATGCAAGGTGGGTTTTCTTCCTCTTTTGGATTCATCCGACATTGACGAGCACATGCAGTTCGGATCAAACAAAGGACAGAACGAGTGAAACGCATCTGTACGAACACACAGGTCAAAGGCGTTTTATTTCTCAAACATTGCGTGTCTATGACCGAACGCTGCAGACGACAAACAAACTCAGGGCTTGGTTTCCTCGGGCTTCTGCGGAAGACAAGGAACAAAAGGAGATGACAATGAGCGTAAGCAAAAGGAAATGGTTAAGAACATATTACATGGGATGCAATTTGATAATTGGCACAGAAGGCAAGGTCAAGAAGAAATTAAGCAAAAGTTCATATGTTCAAACTGTTTTATTTCGTTAATTTTAGTTTCCCTGCCAGAAGCAAATGCAATATTTGTGCCCCATTTGCTTCATATCAAAACAGAAGATATTCATGAAACTTCGCAGCATTTTGAGCATTTAGATGGATCTTTACCTTGTCAGCAGTTCCTTTCTCGTTTTCAGGCTTCCCGGTGTCAATTTTCTTCTTCAGCTTCTCCAGCCTCTCTCTCTCCATTTTCTTCAACCACAAAAAACAGATTTCAAGAATGAAGTTTCAGAAGGGGGATACAACTATCAACATCGACAGGATTGGTTAACAGACGAGGGCTAATTCTTCCAAGGACAATCACACAGATACAAAGCATACGGGCTAGTTCTTCCAAGGAGAATCACACACATACAAAGCGTACGGGTTAAAGTTTTCCAGCCAAAGAACCGAGCTACTAGATTGTAACTCGACTCAGAAAGCATAATGATATGTAGAACAACTTCAGACAGTCTGAATCAGACTGCATCATATAGAAGCAAACTTTTGACAGATCAATCAAACTCACGGCCCCTAAACCAAATGAGAATTGAGAAGAGATATGCAGACAACCCTTCTTTTTCCTTCGATCCAGAATCGAGACATGGAAATAAAGCTCACTAGATCAATAATCAACAAGAGGGATCTCAGGAAGATGAAAGAACAAGGAGCGGGTTCACTGCAAACAACTAGCCACTTAGTCTCAACTCGCCTCAGAACGCTAGAGAGAGAAGTCAACAAAACTCTGTTTACAGAGAAAGATGGTTCATACACGTCCAATATCAAATCCTATAAATCTAACAATCGTCCTAAACACATTGAACACCGGAAGCAAGCTCCATCCCTTTTGCTTCCTTATTAGACATGAAAGGCACTGGAAAAATTAACCCAACCAGACAAAAGTGATTAAAGACCCAAACAATTGTTTGATTTCCAGGCATCACAGATTCACAGTACCATGAGACAACCAATAACACCCAAATCTAGCTCAAAATCAAATGTAGAGACAAGTTTTTGTGACAACAGATCAAGAATATAGCCATTTCCCTTCTCCTATCAACATTTGATCGCATATCCTCCATTTACTTCAGACAACCTTAATCGACACTGTATTTCTCGATCCCGAGACAAAGAAAATAAAAAGCCGTCCGTCGAAGGGATGTTAGAGTTTTCTCGGCAGCCAAACATATAGTGAAGAATAAAGAAAAACAACAATCTAATAAAAGTAAGAAAATCCGGAAATAGACGATCTCTTCATCACCCTCGATAATCAAACATAACGATAGGTAACAGAAACATAGAAACGTAATCATAGACTAAGAACAAACCTGGATATAAATGTTCTCTTTAGCGCGTTCCTCCTCGCTAAGAACACGACCTTTGTCGTCACTGAAGCATCGAGTCGCTGCTCGAGCCGAATCCAGGGAACGAGTCAGGCCTATCTGACTCGCCTCTACGGAGCGGGTCAAACCTAGCCGAGTGAGCGCAGATCTAGTCGCCATTGGTGCTGAATCAGGGAGCTTGGAATCGATTTCGGTAGACGAGTCGGGGGAGTCGTGGAAAAACAAATAAAATATGGGGGGGGGAGCTAGGAGCCTGGGAGCGTGAGCCGTGAGGTGACTCGAAATCGGATCCGGGTCAACCGATTTCTCTCATCGGTTCGGATCGGGTTTCGAATTTTAAAAGAAATAAAACAATTCCAAACTAGCCCCATATTGTACTAAAGTCTACACAAAACGCATCATACTTTTAAGGGATTCAAAAAAACCCAAAAAATTAAGGGAACTCGGGAAGGGAATGCATGATCCAAATTTTTAGCGGCAATTTGATCCGAAATTGATCTATCAGAATCCGTTTGTAAATCGTTAGATTTACATTAACATACACGACAATGTATTTAAAAAATGAACAAATTACAAATAAAACATTCTAAAATTCGCTTGTATAACATCGACTATAGTACAGCTTAGAATTTATACTAAACAATTCATCTACGGTATAAGGAGAACCAAATTTCATGATTCAAGTCGGTCCAAATGAATTGATTTATACACTTTTCGATCGTTATCGAAAAATCCGAAATGTAATTGTAATCGTTTCTCAAACCAATTCTTATAGCCTTTTGGGAGTTTCGGATTCGATGTTTTTGTTAGTCTTGGAGCTCTTTATTAAACGAGTTTCGTCGTTATTACCCTCCATAGATCCTTCTGATTGTCCGAAGCTGACATGATCAATCTCCGTACCATCTTTTCTCTCGTGATGTTCCTCGAACCCTCTGGTTCTAGTGGAATCTTCGAACCTTTCGAAGCAATGATGGCTAGACCCTTCCACGTATTCGATCCAATCAAGATACTCTTTCCTCGACCCGAAATCCGACCGGCTCTTGGTCAAGCCTCTGGCTTTTCTCTCCACGCGATCATAGTCTTTATGCGCCATGACGTCGTCACGTGATCGAAGATCCTGTCCGTTGCTTTTATTGAACCCTTCGAGCCGTTCCGCGAGATCTTGTCGGCCTCTCCGAGTCGAGCCGTCGTACTGTGGTCGTCGTGGTTGGTCGAGACCGTGACCGTCGGCACCGAAATCCGACGGTTCTTGACGTACCTTCTTCTCTTTGGACATGAACTTACGTTGCATGGATCCCATGATCTTCGTAACCTTCGGCGTCTTGTTGTTATTGATAGTGTCGACAGTCTTTTCGTTTTCCGCCGGACTTATTTCCCGGAAAAGTTCTCCGGCGTCATCCTCCGGCGACATGGCCGTGTCTTGCCGGAGACGGCACTTGTTGAGTTTCACGTACTTCATCGATAACTTCTTGGTAAAATTCTTCATTTTGCTTTTTGTTTTTTTTTTACCCTTTTTCCTTGTTGGGGGGTCAAAAACTTTATATAGGGGTTAATTTGAGAATATCCAAAAGGACAAGTCCGTTGAGCTTAAGATGGGATTTGCTGTAATTTTTTTTAACTGTTAATAAACAAACGGATTAAACAGCAGAATATAAAGAGAAAAAAAAGCCCATCAAAACAAGAATTAATAAGCAGTAATCACAACCAATCAAAATCTGGTTTACGTATTGAGATTTTACCTCACAACTAAGAATAGGAGAGATGACCCTACATTTGTGATATTTTTGTTTTTCTAACTATATATATACGTGTTATTAATTAAAAAAATGAACACCCACATGGCTAATTATATCAAACTGGATTTTGAAAAAAAAAGGAGGACCTTGTTATGTTTTATTAGTTTTTTTTTTTCCAATTTTCCAATTGCTGTGTATTTTATTTTCCAACATAGTTAAGTTAAAAAAGAGGAAAACCACCTCTAAAAAATAAACAAATGTGGAGAAAATTAATGATAAAATCTGCCATGTTTAAATACCATGTGCTAATTAGTAATTATATACTAACTGAAAAAAATCTCGTTCCATTAGGTAAAAAACTGTTTTTTTTTTATATTTGAACACGATAGACCCGTTATTTGCATGCTGTAAATTCAAAGGAAGGAAGATTTTTGAATTGATGTATTAATTACCATGCTGTAACAACATGATTACAGTGTGTTTTTACACATGAATCGGTCTTCATAAGGAGGTGATGATCCCACTTTTGTCGGTTTTTTCTGGCACGATAGTGTAATATGGTTTAAATACAATGGATTCACCACTTAATATTTCTAAAACAAATGGCTTTTCTTTTTTTTTAAAAAAAAATTGCAATTTTCCATTGTGGGATTCCCTTTTCTTTATTTAGTTACAACTAAAATGTAATGTTTTTTTTTTATCAAGAGAAACAAAAATTTCTACTTTCAATTTTGACAAAAGTACCTAAATTTTTGTTTTCAGAAAAAAATAAACTTTTTAAAATGTCCAAAATAATATCAAATTTTAAAATTTTAGAAAAATCTCGATGTATATTGTCGTTGGATTATGTAGAAAAAGTACTAAACTTTTTTACTTTTTTTATTTAAAATGTTCCCTTTTATTATCAACTTATTCTTATTTATAATTATACTGTAGAAAAAAGAGTATACGTAGAGTTAACATCGGCGACGGCAACAGATTAATCCACCAAAAGCGCAAATATCGAGATTTTCTACAGAATCCAACGACAATATACATCGAGATTTCTCTACGATCCCATTGGTCTGTTTGTGGTGAGCTCGGATCCGCCATTTCTAAATCTCCAGTGACGTGACGGAGCAGCCGAAACAGCCACTGAATCTAATCCGAAAGCGTTTAAGACACAACACAAACTCAAAACAACCCTAACCGCTGCTGTCGTCCCCCGCCCGCCATGGCTAGCCATCAGAAAACATCGTGGCTCTCTCGTCTGTGTTCGTCTGCTCGGAGAGTCAAACCCATACCTTCCCGCGACGGCGGCGATAATGGGTCGTCTTCGCTGGTTCGCCGGCTTGGCCTCTTCGAACTCATCCTTATCGGCGTCGGTGCTTCGATCGGCGCCGGAATATTCGTCGTCACCGGCACCGTCGCTCGTGAGGCTGGACCCGGTACTCGACTTTCCCTATTCCCCCCTTTTTTTTTTAATATTCGATTTCTTTTACAATTTCATGCAATGGCGTTGGTTTGATGGTTTTTATATATAGAGAACGAAAGGAACATACAAAGACAAATGCGAAAATTCCAACGCAAACGCCGGAAAAAGTTAAAAACTGCACTAGGCACAAAAGACGATTAATTTTGGTTGAATTTTATATTTCTTTTACAGAAATTACATATATAAATACATCAATTTTATACATTTTCAACGTCATACACACATATTTTTTCATGTATATATGTGTATATAAATATTTTTTTTTGTTAATAGTTCATTTTTCATATTTTTTTATTTCGAATCTTTTTTTAAAAAATTACTGTGAAGTGATCGTCATCTCGCATTCGTTTTCCAATTTCATTTGTGACGATTTTTGGAAATGGATGCAAAGTTCATGAACATTTACATAGCAGATCCGTATGATTTTAGAATTTTCAAATTTTACTTATTTGAAATTTCGCAGCAAATTAGTGTGTATATGTGTATACGCATACGGTATTTTAATAAATAAAAATTTTAAAATATGGTAGAACTCAACTATACAAAATCTGGGTGACTGTTTTTACATCAAAATCAATATGATTAATACTATGATAATCCTATAAAATGTCCGGTCTAGAGACGATAACTAATCTATAAAACCCCGTATCAATCAAATTATCATCAAAATACATAAAAATTTCATTGTTTTGATTAGCTAAAAAGCTTTGATTTAATAATATAAAAAAAAAAATCCGTGTAAGTGTAATGGCTATTACACGTAACAAAAAATGGAAATTTGCAGGAGTGACCATAAGCTTCTTGCTGGCCGGAGCTTCATGCGTCCTGAACGCCCTCTGCTACGCCGAGCTCTCGTGCCGTTTCCCGGCCGTCTCGGGTGGAGCCTACCTCTACACCTACTCCGCCTTCAACGAGATCACCGCCTTTCTCGTCTTCGTCCAGCTAATGCTCGATTACCACATCGGAGCCGCCAGCATTTCCCGTAGCCTCGCCGGCTATATAGTCACTCTTCTCCGCCTTATCCCGGCCTTGAAGCACTCTATCCCCACCTGGATCGGTAGCGGCGAAGAGTTCTTCGGAGGGACGATTTCTATCAACGTTTTGGCGCCGGTCTTGCTCTTGCTTCTCACCCTCGTGCTGTGTCGTGGAGTGGGTGAATCGTCGATCGTTAACTCTGCGATGACTGTGACGAAGATTATCATCGTTATCGTGGTTATATTCGCCGGTGCTTTTCACGTTGATGTGGAGAATTGGTCACCCTTTGCTCCACATGGGTTCAAGCCGATCCTGACCGGAGCCACGGTCGTGTTCTTCTCGTACGTGGGGTTCGACGCGGTGGCTAACTCGGCCGAGGAATCTAAGAAACCTCAGCGAGATTTGCCTATGGGAATCTTGGGCAGTCTCGTTATATGCATTGCTCTCTATATTGGCGTTTGCTTGGTTCTAACTGGAATGGTGCCTTTCGGCTTACTAAGCGAAGACGCTCCGTTAGCCAGTGCTTTTACGTCAAAGGGTATGAAATTCGTCACGATTCTGATCAGTGTCGGAGCCGTGGCTGGTTTAACCACGACCCTTCTCGTCGGTCTCTACGTTCAGTCAAGATTGTATCTGGGGATCGGAAGTCATAAGGAGGTGATGATCCCACTTTTGTCGGTTTTTTCTGGCACGATAGTGTAATATGGTTTAAATACAATGGATTCACCACTTAATATTTCTAAAACAAATGGCTTTTCTTTTTTTTTAAAAAAAAATTGCAATTTTCCATTGTGGGATTCCCTTTTCTTTATTTAGTTACAACTAAAATGTAATGTTTTTTTTTTATCAAGAGAAACAAAAATTTCTACTTTCAATTTTGACAAAAGTACCTAAATTTTTGTTTTCAGAAAAAAATAAACTTTTTAAAATGTCCAAAATAATATCAAATTTTAAAATTTTAGAAAAATCTCGATGTATATTGTCGTTGGATTATGTAGAAAAAGTACTAAACTTTTTTACTTTTTTTATTTAAAATGTTCCCTTTTATTATCAACTTATTCTTATTTATAATTATACTGTAGAAAAAAGAGTATACGTAGAGTTAACATCGGCGACGGCAACAGATTAATCCACCAAAAGCGCAAATATCGAGATTTTCTACAGAATCCAACGACAATATACATCGAGATTTCTCTACGATCCCATTGGTCTGTTTGTGGTGAGCTCGGATCCGCCATTTCCGGAAGAGACGGGCTCTTACCTCCGCTCTTCTCGAAAGTCAACGAAAAGCTTCGAACTCCGATCCATTCCCAAGTATGGTGCGGGATCGTGGCCGGAATCCTCGCCGGATTGTTCAACATTCACAGCCTCTCCCACATTCTCTCGGTCGGAACCCTAACCGGTTACTCAGTTGTAGCAGCTTGTGTCGTGGCTCTGAGACTGAACGATTACAAAGGAGCTTCGAGATGGTCCGAAGGCATCCTCTGCGTCGTCGTCGTGGCTCTCAGCGGCTTCGCGGCCGGTGCGATCTGCCGGTTCGACGCTTCTTTCTTCTACCTTATAATCCCAGGAGCCGTGGCGATAATCTCTTGCGGCATGATCTGTTACCGGAAAGCGTACGGTCGGTCTCCCGGGCAGGGTTTCCGGTGTCCGGGAGTTCCGGTCTTGCCCTGTCTTTGCATATTCTTCAACATGTTCTTGTTCGCTCAGTTGCACTTCGAGGCTTGGGTAAGGTTCGTGGCCGTGAGCGTGGTTGCCGCCGGTGTTTATGCGTTGTACGGTCAGTACCATGCCGATCCAAGTTCCAAGTCTGATTGTTTGGACATCGATGCTTGATTTAGTTAGATTGATGAATGAGTCGTGAATTTATGTTATGTTTATGTGTTTTTTTTCTTTTGCTTTTATGTTTTTATTTAAATCAAAATTGATTGACATATAATTATATATAATTCGAATGGGTTTAATTGGCTTTTGGAACTCTCGAATTTAGCGTGGAAAGTCAGCAACCAGACAGAAGTATACATCATCAGTACGTCCGCGATCACATTATTAGAGCAATTATTTCGGTACAGCATTATTAAATTCATTAATCTCTATTATTTTTTCGAGTTATTTTTGTTTCCAATTATTTAATAAAGATTAATATTGAAAACAAACAAAGGTAGATGGTGGAGTGACGTCACATATCAACACCTGCACCCGTCATTCAACACTATCATCGCAAACGCCAAAATTGCTCGCTCTCGCTCTCGGTCTCCATAATTTGGTGTCGTCGCTCAAGGAGGAGGTAGTTCTGGTCGTCTTCCATGGCGTTTTCGAGTGCGATCTTCTCCGTTTCTCCGTATGCTGCTTCGCGTTGTTCTTTTGCGATCAGCCTCTCTACGCGTTTTCCCGCTCAAATCTCTCCTCCTGGTCTACCGGCTGATTCGTTCGCCGTTCGCCGGAAGTTCGTGCACGGTGTAACCGGTCTCTGGCCGAGGAGGTGAGCTTAAGCGTGTTTCTCAGATGGTTTTTTCCTTCCGATCGTTACGATTCTTGTCGGAATCGCTCGAAATTTCTTCGGGAATTCTTCTTGCTGATTCTGATGATTTGGTTTAATAGACTTTGTGTGCGCATTTCTCGTTTGTTATGTTTTCTCAAATCTTGACCCTGGATGTGCGAGGAACGATTATGGTGCTGAGGCTTGTATTTTGGTTTTCTGTAGTTTGCTTGCCATTATTGTGGAGTTAGGGTTTCTCGCTATCTTGGGACCAGAGATTAGTCTCGAATACTAATGAATTGAGAAAATATCTCTATATTAAGCTAGGTACATTCCTGTAGCAGACTACGACACAGCATTCGTGGGTAATCCCTTTTGTTTAGGACTTTGGTTGGAATTATCCTGTCAGAGAAATAGGTATTGTTTAGTGCAAGCGGTGTGATAAATGGAACAATTCGTGCTTGATTGTTTCGTTTTCTCTATGAATTATTTGCGTATTCAAGCAATTTTTTGTGTGATATTGTTCCGTATTACAGCTTTAGAAGAGATGGCTGACATGGTTTAATGTATATGCAGTATAAGAAACTTAGTCTGCAAGTCCACTAACAGCACCGATGCCATCACTCCATCTTTGTCGGTCAGTAATTTGTTTTAGCCTTTCTTCACCATACTCAACTACGTAGTGCTTTTTGCATCTTGAAAGCGATTCAATCACTGGACTTTACATTAATGGAATGGAATTACATACACCTGCGCACCACAAGATCAACATGTACATATGGACTGTACAGTTCTGAGTTGCTGTGTAAATCATTTGACGTGCAATTTCAGTTCATAATTGATACTAGAAAAGGGGAGCCTATTAGTTTTTTTTTAAATATTTTGTGCGCCTTGTTATGTCATTTGATGGAAAATTTGATTGCAGAAATCAGAAGAAGACGATGACTATATTCCCAAACCGATAGTTCTGATTGACCAGGATGCCGACCCTGAAGCCACCGTTGTGCAGCTCAGCTTTGGAGATCGTCTTGGAGCCCTCATTGATACAGTGAGCTTCAATTGTCTGTTTTGGTTTTATTTTGCGTCTTCTAGAACACAGTGAAGTTTGTGGTTACATCAACCATAGTAAAAGCATAATGTTTTAGCTAGCCTGTCTTCAATGATGTTTTGTCTTGTGCTAAGGCTAGACTTTTACTATGAATGAGTGTGCCTGTCATTTGATAAGACGTTATCAGGATATCCCTTTATTTCTTTACGATGGGTTCTGATCATTATGTTCAAGGAGAATGTGTAGCCTCATCAAGTAGCTCGTGACCAATATTTGCTGGAACTAGGTCAAGCGTTTTGCCTATACAACATGTGATGTTTCAAATTTGGCAGATAAGGGCATTAAAAGATTTGGGATTGGATGTGACAAAGGGAACTCTCTCAACCGAAGGAACAATTAAGCAGACAAGATTTTCAATTACACGATCGTGAGAACCCTGTTTTACTCCTCTCCCTCTCTCTTTTTAGGATGTTTTCGTACCAGTTTTTGACTACTCACATATTTAGTAGGATATACAAGTTTATAATAATGTTGATAGTTTATGGTGAGCTTTCCTTGCAATTTGTTCTGTTATTGGCTATCAGCATGTTTCATTTCATACCGTGTTAAGTTCAATGCATTCATTGGAGATTTTGTTAGCATAATCTATGAGATCAGCATACATGAGAATGTCTGTGGTTCTTCACGCAAACATATTCATTGGATATTAATAAACAATCAATGTGGCCTTTACTTGTCACTTTTCTCAGCCATTTGCGTGTTTGCATCTAAAGTCGGCTGTAAATTCATGTTTATTTGCATCTTGAGAATATGTACAAGTTCAGGTAGAAGAGTTATATTCGGTAGGTTATAGTCAACAATCCAGATCTTTTGCTACTTTAGCATTCTCCCATTGTCCTAAGCAGTCCATGATACTTATTGGCCATTTCATTTCACCAAAGGTTTCTTTAGACATGGATATTAAGCATAGGAAGAAGCATGATGCAAGCAAATCTGGTAAAAAATACATGCCTGTCTTGTCACAATTGTCTGGAATTCCTGGTTTGATTATGATGGTACCAGAGATACTGGCCGGAAGGTGGAAGATCCCGACTTGTTAGAGAGAATTCGGCTCACGATTATCAACAACCTTTTGAAATACCATCCGGTATGTTTTCTGATTCAGCTCTATTATTACTCTTTTTCAGTTTGAGTCATATGCACATATCTTTGTTAATTGCTTAAAATTTAAGACCCACACAGATGTAGGTGCATACATGCACATACGATGTAGCTTTTGGATTTACAAAAGGTGCGTGTTTTCTGATAACTCTTTTGAACATTACTTGTTGTAGGAATCCAGCGAGCAGCTTGCTTTGGGGGAGACATTTGGAATAAAGGCTCCAGAAAAGAAGGTAATATTTACTGTGTGATCTGGAATTGATGAGTTTTTTCACTGATCTACATTTTGTATAATCTCTTTGCATGTTTTTTTATGCACCGTACTTCGGTTTGTCATGTTACTAGGGTTGCACATTGACCTTCAATTATCAGTTATCCCCCTTTGCTATTCCCCCTTATATACCATGGGTAGTTGCATTGGGACTTTGTGATACTCTTGACTAAATTAAGTTTCAAACATGTCTACATTCATACGGTAAAAACAAAATAGAAAAAATTGTCTGCAGTCTTTGTAATCTTGCTTTTAAATGATACCTTCCTCTGTTTTGGATTTCCATGCTGGCAGATCGATGTTGATATTGCGACACACATACATGTTAAGGAAGACGGGCCAAAGAGGAGGTATAGGTCTCGGTAGAGCAATGACCAAGTGTTTGGGCTTCACTTCTCTTATCCATTCACTGCACTCTTGGAATATTATTCTATTGCATAACTTATTATTCTTGTTTCTCACCCCCATTAAAAGTATTTGATTGTTTGCAATCTGCAAATTGTTCCTTTACTGTTTCTCTAGCCTGCTGTACATAGAGACGGCCGACAAGCCAGGCCTGCTTGTAGAGATCATCAAAATCATGGCTGACATCAATGTCGATGTGGAATCAGCGGAGATAGATACAGAAGTAATCTATGCATATATACATACATATATAAGGGGTTATTTACTTCAACTCTAGGTTTACTTCTTTTATTCTTTGGTTGTTCTCAGGGTCTGGTAGCAAAAGACAAATTTCACGTTAGCTACAGAGGCCAAGCGCTAAATAGTTCACTGTCACAGGTGAGTTTCATTGATCAGACAGACAGATTGTTTGTACATACCCAATTGGTTGAACTTCTACGAAGTGTTTATTTTGCCCAAAATTTCTGATTCCTTCGGACAGGTGCTCGTTAACTGCCTGCGTTACTACCTCAGAAGGCCTGAGACAGACATTGATAGTTACTGACCTGGTGGGCGAAAAAGCACGATCCATCCTTTCCAGGAGTGCTTGGTTCGTCCTACAATATCATCATCCGCTCGCATCTATGTGTTGTTACAAAATTTTATTTGGGAGTTTGTTTGTGTAGCATAGTTACTGTGTCGGATCCGTTGCCAAGATGGGTTCTGTTCCCTTACTTTGATGTGGAATCTTGTATTTGGGCAAATAAAGTAACGTCTTAAACTATTTGGGTTCGGAAAGGGACATCAGTTTGGTTTTCGGTTCGGGTTTGATTCGGTTATATTCAAGTTTGGACTCAGTCAGTTTTAGAAAAATATTTACCCATTTGGTTTTTGTATCAGATTAGATTTTTTATTGATACAGATGTCATTTACTAAAAAAAACATAGATTTTTCGGTATTTTTATTTTCATTTCTAAGTTTTTTTTCCCCGAAAAATCACAGTGTTTTAGTGTTTCGGTTGTAATAACAGTTATTAGCTGGATTGGAATTTGCAACCAATCCATTCATTCGAAAACCTAGGTGCAATGACTCGTGACTCTGTCTCTGCAACTCGGCCATTAGGTTTGTATTCAGAGTCTGTGTACTATAATAAGCCGGATTACTCGCTGTCATTAACGTTGCCATGTTACAGATTGACTGAGAATGTGTTTTTTTCTATTACAAATCTCAGGTTTGCTTGAATGATGCAGCTGGAAGTGTGAATTGAGACATACTTGTACAAAGTCAAGTCAACAGTTTAGTTTTATTTTTAATTGTCGTCGGGTTCTGGGTTCCTTGGGTCTCAGTTCATGTCGAGACCGTGTGCCGTCACGTGTTTTCACTTCATTTATCAGTTCTATTTGACCAAACCCATTTGCTATATATATATATATATATACTCATGTGAGTGTACTTGGTTAGTAGCATCATCAAAACCTGTTTCTTTCTCTCTTTATAGCTTGGTTAGTAGCATCATCAACCATGGCAGGCCGGGAAGAAACCACTTTCAGCTGGCTGTGGAATTCCGGAAGGAAAATATCTTCGAGCTCGTTTATGGGTTGGATGACAGGAAAAACGTATTTCTTACACAAGTCGATGCAGACGGAAACACAGCTCATCATATCACCGGTTTTCTCCCCCCTCCTCAGCAAGTCTCTAGGGTTTCTTGTAGCTCTAAAGCTGCAAAGAGAGCTTCAATGGTTCAAGGTACTTCCTTCTTCCTTTTCCTTCTCTTGAGATGCAAATAAAACCGAAGATCTCTCACATATATATGTGTGTATATCTATCTATCTTGTGTTGTTGCCATTCTTGACACAGGAGAGAGCATGCTGTCATACATCGTAAAATATATTTCATACACAAGTACATATACACATGTATTACGCAAACCAATATAAATATAAAATTAGAGAGCACACAAGTAAGTGTGTTTCACGAAGCATCAAAACTTTGGGAAAAGTTGTGTTAGCTTCAAACCAAATAACAAAACCAACGTGTATGTCATGGAAATAAGTAAAAAAGAAGAAAGAAGAAGAAGCTAAGAACAAGACCTGTACATGTCTCCAAACTGAAGGAAGGCATCAAGACAGGCAAAATACAACCTCGTACACTCACCTGCATATATAAAACACATACGTATCTCTCTATATATATGCGTGTGTTCAGTTCTCATGCATGTACATGTTATAGCAACATCATACCAGATTGTTTCTTTCTTCATTGTTAAATTTTCCGCGAAAATGAATACAGAAAACGCTGTTCCAGTGAAGCAACAGAACGTGTCGGCAGAAGCAGATCAAGGTAGCCGACTCTCTAGAAACTGATTTTTTTTTTCCTCACGTAAAGATGAATACGTTCAATCCATAATTTTCTTTCTGTTGTATTTCTTCTGAAAGGTGGGAAGACGACGGATACGAGCCGGAAATACTTACCTTTATCCCATGCTATAAGCCGAGGCGACTTGCAAGGTGTGAAAGACTTCCTGGATCGCTTCCCAAACGCCTTGACCGCATGGATAGACACCGTAGAAACGCCATTGCTGAAAGCTTGTACGTGTGGACAAGCCGAGATAGTGAAGGAGCTATTGCGGAGGATGACTCCCGAGCAAACCCTGAATCCGAAAAAGGATAAGGAGAGTAATTTAGCCTTCACTCCTCTCACGATTGCCGCTGTCAACGGGAATTTGGAGATCGCTGATGCCTTGCTCGCAAAGAATCCTGAGCTAGCCGAGATTGCAGATAGCTCGGGGGATTCCATACCCGTTATCACGGCTGCTATTGCTGGACACAAGGAGATGGTTCACTTTCTTTATCAGAGAACCCCTCTCCATGTTTTGCTTGCTTCCGAAGGATCCTTTGCTTCAAATCTTCTTATGAATGCCGTTTTCTATGGAATGCTCGGTAAGCGCTTCTTTGTTGTGCATAGACACAAAGATTTATACTTTACCATATCATAAGGCCTCTGATGAATGTTCATTAGGTTTGAATGCCATGATTCTATAAACCCAAATCTTGACTGCAGAAGAAATCCTTATTTCCATATGCAGATTGTTCTATCAAACTTTTTGATCTTTGCTCTTCTGAAACGTTCCTTTTTTTTTCCGGTTTTGAACTCTCTATGTTACCAGATATGGCGTTACAGCTCTTGGAAGTGAGCCCACGCTTGGCTATAACCAAACACCCGAGTCTAAAAATTTCGGCGTTTGAAGTTTTGGCTCTGAAGCCTGATCTGTTTCTAAGCGGTTGCGATATCAGATCCTGCCATCGCCTAATATACTCTTGTATGTAGACACATATCGTGTCTCCTCTCCCCTTTTTCTCTGTTTTCTTTTTCGATGTTGGAGTTCAAAATGTTAACGTGAAATCCCTTGTCTCGATTGTGCAACAGTTATAAAAGTTGAGCAGCGAACTGATCCAACGAATTCGATTTCAGATCTATGCCAAAGTAAGCACACACATTTTCAGAATGTAAAATATTGGATGTTTTGTTCGTTCATCGATGTTTTCGACTGTCTGTTTCACTTCACTGTATCAGGTTTAGGGATGAAGATACTTCAATGTCTCCCCAACTCGTTCGGTGGGTCAGCTTTCTTTGTTTATATTCTTCGGAGAATCTATCGATTATGTCAATCATGATGGACAAACATGTCGTGTTTCTTCGATATAGGAGTCAGCAGAATGTATGAACTTAAAGATATACATTGCAAAGCTCGTAAATTTGTACGGCTAGCCTGTAACGAGACCGATGATACGTGGAGGGAGACAGCCGGAACTGTGATTTTGTTGGCGGTGAGATATGGAAACAAGGAACTCCTGGTAGAGATGATCAAATCTTACCCCGACATCCTTTGGTGCTACAATGTTGATACCGGGAGATACCTCTTTCAAATGGCCGTGGAGTTTCGGAAAGAGAAGATATTCGAGCTGATCTACGGGCTGGATGACAGGAAAACCATCCTGCTTAAGCTACCCGACAAAAACGATAACTCCATTCTTCACATCGCTGGTTATCTCTCCCCTCCCGAGGAACTCTCTCGGGTTGCAGGTGCGGCTCTCAAGATGCAGAGAGAGCTTCAATGGTTCAAGGTATGTGTTCATGTCACTGTTCAAGAACTAAGATGTATAAAATCTCTTAACCTTTTGTCTGAAAACAGGAAATAGAGAGGATAGTGCCAGACATAGAAAAGGAAAAGAGAAACAAAGAAGGACTCACCCCATTACAGTTCTTTGAAATAAATCACGAACCGCTACGTAAGGAAGCCGAGAAATGGATGAAAGGCACTGCCTCTGCTTGCAGCGTCGTGGCCGCTCTCATAGCCACCGTCACTTTTCAAGCCATTTTCACCGTTCCGGGTGGCACCAAGGACGATTCCGGCATACCTTTCCATCTCAAGGACGCTCCTTTCATGGTGTTCGTCTTTGCCGATATCCTCTCCTTCTTCGCCTCTTGCACTTCTGTCCTCATTCTCCTCGGCATCCTCACCGACAGATACGCTTTCGACGACTTTTTCGTGTCCTTGCCCTCGAAGATGATAGCTGGTCTAGCCACTCTGTTCATCTCGGTTGCAGCCATGCTCGTGGCCTTCTCCACTGCGCTTTTCACAACGCTGAATAAGACGCCTTGGCTCGTGATCCCGGTTATCCCCTTGGCTTGCCTGCCTGCAACTCTCTTCGTACTGATGCAATATCCTCTTTTCAAGGTGATGATTTCCTCCACGTACGGGAAAGGACTCTTCAACAAGGACACCAGACCTTGGTTCAATTGATGATTATGATGTTGATGAAGAATCATGATGCCCTTTTCATATCTTACGCGTTTGTGTGTTTTGTAATAAGAAATAAAAATTGTTTCCTTTGGATTTGTTGTCAGATCTTTGTTGTGGGTTTTTGCTGAAATGCAAGTTGTGTCTCTTGCCATATAAATTTATCGACTCGTAGAAAAAAGTTGGGAATTGGGATTGTTCCAACGTCTTTTCGGTGATTGGTCCACTGGGTATTGCGTCGTCGACGCCATTCCGTTCGGTGGAGCTTACATGGCGGCAGTAACTCGACCGCAGCTCATCCATCCTCTTCCTACGATCTTCAAGCCTTCTCTTTTCCTCAGACACCATCTCTCTCGCTCTCTCGCTTCTCCATGTAATATCCATGGCTCTCGCCTTCGATCCCTCTCCGTCTCTCCCGTCCTCTGCTCGCAGCCCCACCATTCCCCTCAGGTCTCTCTCTCTCTCTCTCTCTCGGTGATTTCGTGTTTCTGGGATCTGATTTCTTTGTGGGTTTCTCTTTCTTCTGGTCTTTTGCGAACAATTTTGACAGGGTGAGTCTAATAAACCGCTCTCTGCCTCGATTGTCGGGGATCTTCTGGATTATCTGAATGAATCCTGGACGCAATTTCACGCCACTGGTACTGCAACCTAATTTCTTCGATTTTGTTTTCTGCAATTTTCCCCATTCCCACCGGATACACTCCGTTTCCTCGAGATTTTGATTTCGTTCTGCACGAAAATGGGAACAATTATCTGGGTTGTTGTCGAAATTGTTACGACTGCGATCTTTTGTTTGCAGCTGAGGCAAAGAGACAGCTTTTGGCTGCTGGGTTCGATCTTCTTAGCGAAAACGAACAGTGGAAGCTTAGGCCTGGCGGTCGTTACTTCTTCACCAGAAACATGTCGTGTTTGGTTGCTTTTGCTGTGGGAGAAAAGTGAGTTTACAACATTGTTGAATCCTTGGACCGGTTGGTCATCTTTACTAGTAAAATAGGTGATTCTGAAACTAGTTCATGTTATGATATCAAAGTGTTCAACCCTTTCCTGAAGTTTTCTCCTTTTGGGGATCCATGGCTCTGTGTGCTGTTCTTGCTTTGTTTTGGGGAGAAATACTCAAGTTTCGCCTTTTGCAGGTACTCTGTTGCGGGTAATGGTTTTCATGTCATAGCGGCTCACACTGACAGTCCGTGTCTGAAACTTAAGCCAAAATCGGCATCATCCAAGTCCGGTTACCTGATGGTCAGTGTTCAGACTTATGGCGGCGGTTTATGGCACACCTGGTTCGATAGAGACTTGAGCGTGGCAGGGAGGGCGATTCTGAGATCTAGCGATGGCTCGTTCATTCACAGGCTTGTCAAAGTGAAAAGACCATTACTACGAGTGCCCACTTTGGCCATCCACCTTGATCGGTAACTTCTTTGACTAGGTTGTCTGGGCGTTTAGAGTTAACAGGGCATTTCTTCTCAAGCTCTAACATGAAAGGAAGTAGTATACAAGTTCTGAGAATTTTCTCATTCCATTTTCTTCTTCTTGATTTGTTTAGCACAGTGAACAGTGATGGATTCAAACCGAATCTGGAGACCCATCTTATCCCGCTTCTAGCGACAAAGCCAGATGAAGCTTCGGCAGAACCAAAGGACAAAAACGTTCCTTCTTCCTCCAAAGATCCTCATCATCCATTACTCATGCAGGTAGACACAAAATATGAAGACTATGGATGATTCTATTTTGTAAATACAACCGTCTTCCTGACATGGTTATTACACGAGTTGGTTCTCTTCGTTGTTTTTGAATGTTGAGTCAGGTTTCCGCCATTTTGTATCGTAAGTAATTACCGAAAATTTAGCACTACTGCTAAGAAATTATAACGTGTGCTTGTCTGTGAGGTTTGGTGTTGGTTAGTTTTGTAAACTGTGAAATCTATTGTTATCTGAAAAGCCGAAAACTCCTTGTTCTGTTGCAGATTTTGTCAGATGAGCTGGACTGTAAGGTCGAGGACATAGTGAGTCTCGAGTTAAATATATGTGATACCCAACCCAGTTGTCTCGGAGGGGCAAACAATGAATTCATATTTTCTGGAAGACTTGATAATCTCGCATCAAGTTTCTGCGCATTGAGAGCGTTGATCGATTCAAGTGCTTCCCTGGGCAGCCTGTCGAGTGAACATTCTATCCGGATGGTCGCTTTATTTGACAATGAGGAGGTACCCTTTGTTTATGGAATCTTTCTCGGTCTGCTCCCACACCGAGAGCATGTTTCTTGCAGCATCTCGGCTTTTCTGAACGTGTTTTGGGGTATATAGGTTGGTTCAGATTCGTGTCAAGGTGCCGGAGCACCCACGATGTTTCAAGCCATGAGACGGATTGTGAGTTCATTAGGCAATGGGCATGTCACCGAATGTACTTTCGACCGTGCTATTCGGAAATCTTTTCTCGGTACTTGTCAACCATATTCTTGCGGGTGTTTAAGCTTTCAAAAAAGGATACATCCGCTCTAAATTTCTGGATGTTCTTATCTTTTGCTTCTGAAAACCCGTTAATGGATTCTTCTGGTTGGCAGTGTCTGCAGACATGGCCCATGGGATTCACCCGAATTTTTCTGAAAAGCACGAAGAGCATCACCGTCCTCAGATGCACAAGGGTCTGGTCATCAAGCATAATGCAAACCAACGCTACGCAACCAGCGGCATCACATCTTTGCTTTTCAAAGAAGTCGCAAAATTACATAATCTTCCAACTCAGGTAAGTAAACAGCTGTTTCCAGTGTTCGATCGTTCGGAAATTTTGTGTTTCTATCCTCATCATCCTTATGTTTCGTGGAATCTTACATGTCTTAGAGATTCTTGATCTTTTTCTACACTAATCTCTTCTGAGTTGGAGAACGGCCCAAGATGCTGATTTCGATTTTTTCACTTTCTCTGTGTGTGTGTGTGTGTGTGTGTATATATGGCAGGAGTTTGTCGTGAGAAACGATATGGGATGTGGCTCAACCATAGGCCCTATCTTAGCTTCAGGAGTTGGAATCAGAACTGTTGATTGCGGGATCGCTCAGCTTTCGATGCATAGGTAACTTAGTTAAACGTTACCTATATCGTGTTTTATCGTACGAGTACTTTTCCCTCATATATTGATTCGATGTTTCGGTTCTGAGATGCAGTGTGAGAGAGATTTGTGGGACGGAGGATATAGACATAGCGTACAGACATTTCAAGGCGTTCTACGAATCCTTCTCGACCATAGACCGGAAGCTCACGGTGGATTAGTCGTAACTCGTGATTTAACCCTTTTACATTGCAAGACAGCGAAATCAAGCTCCATGGAGTTTGCTTCCATGGCGATGCAGCCACATGCTTAGGGTGCTCTTTTCTCCAGGTACTGATGATCATAGTCACTGTAGAAACTTTCATTTTATGGTTACAAATGTATTACCATACTTGGTGGTGGCGGTGGGTTTTCTCTTTGAAAGAAACTTCGTTTAGTATCAAGAAACATATATTTATGTAAAGTGACAAAAGTTACATAGGCTGACTCTGAATCCATATCCGAGGATTTTACCTCGTTACTGAAAGAGAAAAGGAAAGAAGTATCGAAAGCAATGTCAGAACCAAGGCGTGTTGTCGCGTTTAAAGATCCCGTGGCCGAAGGTGGAGGAAATCATCTCCTTAAGGAGAGGGAATTGAAGCATGACGAAGAGCGATGCAGGTAGGCAAGCGAGAGGTAGAACAGGGATCACCAGCAACGGAGCCTCGTGGAGCGTCGTGAAAATGATAAGACGTTATCA